TCCCAGAGACTCTCGGACTTGAAAAAATAGTTAACATTTGTGCTCCAAAGTTTATAAAATTCATAGTCTCCTTCTCGAAACTTCTGTGGTAAATTAGTTAAGAAATGTAAGTGACTTTCCATTTTTTAGCACAACTTACCTTAGCTAATATCACTTCTTGCACTCTTGTCTTAACAACTTGGCTCCAATGCCAATTTGATAGAATAACGTAAACTCACATATAAGAGGTAGGAAAGAGGATACTCGATGTATCCGAATTCGTATTTAAATATTCAAATTCGAAAACAGCTAAAGATTTTTTCAAGACATTTTCTAGATATAGTAAGTTATTTTTTAATAAACTACGAGTAATAATATAACTTGACAAATTCATCATAACACATCCAAAATGTTACTTAAATTGCTACGAATTTTGGGAGCAACATGTCCCAAAAAATGGAACAAAAGAGTCTCATATTCGTATAAAATGTTCCAAACCTTCAAAAATAACAGGTAACAGAAACAAAACACACATATTACGGACCTTTAGAATCTAGAAGCTTGGCTAATGAAGTGAAAACGATAGATGAGGCGACATGCAGAACTCTGGAGTCTTGAGAAAAATAATAAAATTAAGGTTTTTTTAAATAGAATATAATTAGGGTTTGTTTGGGAGAAGCTTGTATATTTAATCCAACAAATGCAAATAACTAGTGTATGACAGTATGAGTCTATTAGGGTATATTTATTTATTTATACCATTCAAATGATTTGAAATATAAACAAATCAGTTGTATTTATATTCGAATTTGATTATAATTCGATTCTAGTATTTGGTTCGTATTCGTATTTGAATTCGATTAAGATGAATACGAATCATTAATCAAACTATTTATAATTGATTTGTTTGTACCCCTAACTCTGGTAAGACTAAACTCCCTTTATCCAAAGGAGTCCTTGGGCATATCGCGAGAACACTAATAATTACTCCGTAATATTCACGCGGTCCATTGAGTAGTTAGTTGCTCCCTCCATCGTTCAAAAAAAAAAGAAAGCGCTAAATTATAGACCCTCCCTTATTTGATTACCCCGGAGTACAATTTTTTCTCTCTTTCCTCTTGATAACTTTTGCTTGTTTGCACAATTTAATTAAATATTTGATAAAATAAAATATTGTTGTTGTAGAAATAGTTTATTTGGGTAAAACTTGATGCCATATTTCATTGATACATATGGGTATAAATACACTAAGGTGATACAATCGAGGAGCCCGGGTGATACAAACGAAGAGCCCCATCAATGAATATAATATGCAAAATATATACATATGCTAACACTCCCTCTCAAGTTGGAGCATGAATAACAAAAATGCCCAACTTGGATAAGAGAGACTGAAAAAGAGGACCTGGTAAAGCTTTTGTGAAGATATCAGCTGTCTGAAAACGTGTAGGCACATAAGATGTGACGATGTGATTACGCTGAATACATTCACGTACAATGTGACAGTCAATATCGATATGTTTTGATCGTTCATGAAAGACTGGATTAGCAGCAATGAACAAGGCAGATTTGTTATCACAATACAGTCTCGGAGTTGCAAAACACGGCACATCCAAAGCAGCAAGAAGCCCACGTAGCCATCGGATCTCCGTACATGCATTTGCCATTGCTCTATACTCTGCTTCGGCTGAAGACCGGGAAACTGTAGTTTGCTTTTTAGTGCGCCAAGAAATTGGAGACCCACCAAGCATGATGAAATAACCAGTCACCGATCGGCGTGTCAACGGACAACTTGCCCAATCAGAATCTGAAAAAGCTGTAAGAGTAAGATCACTATCGCGACGCAACAATATTCCCTGACCAGGGTGACCTTCTATATAGCGGAGAACACGCAGGGCAGCATTGCAGTGATCTAAACAGGGTGCCTGCATAAACTGTGATAAGACATGTACTGCATAACAAATATCAGGGCGTGTGATAGTCAAATACAGTAGTCATCCCACAAGACGTCTATATATGGTAGAGTCACGAAGCTCTGCACTTGTGGAACGTGACAAGTTGTGATTGCTAGGTAGAGGGGTATCAACAAGCTTACAACCAGATAAATTAGCCTCTTGAAGAATGTCGATAGCATATTTCCGCTGATTTAACACCATCCCTGCCTGGGAACGAGCACACTCGATACCAAGGAAGTAAGAGACAGGACCAAGATCTTTCAGATTAAAACATTCATCCAAATATTTCTTGAAAGCAGTACATAGAGAAGAATTATTTCCTGCAACAAGAATGTCACCAACATAAACAAGAACAACCAGCATATCAGGACCACGACGATAAACAAAAAGAGTATGATCAGCATGGGCTTGACGGAAGCCATAACACCGTAACGCCAACCGAAGTTTAGCAAACCAATTGCGAGAGGATTGTCGAAGGCCATAGAGGGACTTGCGGAGGCGGCATACTTTCCCTGGGTAAAAATGGGTATAACCTGGAGGAATCTTCATATAAATCTCATCGGTAAGATCCCCATGCAAGAAGGCATTATTAACATCCAATTGATCAATCTGCCATCCCCTAGCAACGGCAACAGACAATAGAACACGGACAGTGGCTAATTTGGCTACCGGGGCAAAAGTATCAGTAAAGTCAACACCGAACTCTTGATGATTACCCAGCACAACTAGCCGAGCTTTGTCTCGTTCCTTGGTACTATCAGATTTATATTTGGTCCTGTACACCCACTGACACCCCAAAGCTTTCCGATTCGGAGGAAGATATGTAATATCCCAAGTATGATTATGCTCCAAGGCGTTGAACTCCTGAGTCATGGCATCATGCCAAGAAGCATACTGAACAGCCTCACGGAAAGTACGAGGCACTGGAGAAGCATCAATAGCACCAAGAAACCCTTTGTACCTGTCATGTAACTTATTATAATGAACGAAGTTAGTAATAGGAAACCGAGTACCAGACGAAGATGGACTAGATGATGAGGAAGGTGGAGTGTCTGTTTTTGCGGAATGAAGAACATAATCTTTAAGATGAGACGGAAGACGACGGTTACGAGGTGGCAACAGTTGGACAGTGGGTGGCGGAGAACTGGCTTGCGTCGAAGGGGCGTTGCTGCTATTGTCGTCTGGGGAGGCGGAAGATGAAGGAGATGGAGATGGCGACGGGGTAGAGACGGGGGAAGGACTGGATACGACTGTTTGTTGTGGGGACGAGGTTACTGTGGACCCGGATGATGGAAGTACTGGAAAGTCCTCTGAAGAAGGATTTAAAATAGGCTGAGGAGAAGTAGACTGTGTGGGAATGGCAAAGGGAAATTGTGTTTCGTCAAAGGACACATCCCGAGTGTGAAAAAATTGGTGTGTCTCAAGATTGTATACTCGCCAGCCTTTAGAGATTGAGATGCCACCACCAGTTGTGTGGGCTAGCTATAAGAGATTGAGATGCTAGACACGTTTGTCCAAGTGCTAACTAGGCCAGGCTAGTTACCACTTGCGGGGGAGTGTTGGAGTTCCCTCATCGGAAAATAAAGATGAGTATCACTTGCATATATTGAAGGGTGAAGCCCTACCTATCAGCTTAAACTTTTTGGTTAGAATTGTGGATCCCGACTTTATGTGCAAGTGGTTAGTTTTACCCGACACTCTATCCGTTGTTCTTGGCTCGCCGGAATTTTAACAGTTGTCACCTCTTGTTTTGTAGAACTTTCGACGTAGTTTTTTAATATGTAATTTTTAAATCTTATCGATATACTGATTTGTAAATAAAATGATTTTAAGAAGTGAGATATTTATCCTCGTAAATCAAATTGGAGACGGAGGGAGTAGTTGATTTTCAATTTTACTCTTGATATAATAGATGAAAGTAAGATGCGATGGATAGATTATTAGAGAAAAAATATGATGTGATAGGTAAGTTATGAAAAAGTAAGAGTAAAAGTAGGGTTTTTAATAAAAAGTGAAAAAAATGAAAGAGAAAATGTTTTTAAGAATGGAAGGATTATGTTATTTCATTAAGAGTGGCTTTTGTTTAATTAATTTGCACTTTTAACTGGAGATGATTCTAATTTTTGAAAGATCTAGATAGATTCTGAAAATCACAAAGAATCGGGAGCTAATTATATTAGAGTTGAGAATCAATCCTAGCAATTAGGCCATGTTCTTAACTTATTCTTTTGACCTACACTATATTACTTATTCTTATTGAAATCAGATCAAAAATAACTTTAAATATAGCTACATTCAGATCAAAGCAGACCGATCAGAACGTATTTCAATCAGATCGGAACCATTAGTTGAGGTGAAGAGAACATAACCTTACTTCACCAATCCAAACCAAAGTGATTCTAAAGTTAACAAAACCATCCAGCAAATGCAAGCCAAACACACCCTAAATATCTGAATATGCAATTTTTTCCCAACAATGTTTGCAATGAGTGGCATGAATGCCATGAAAATCTTGAACTGCTCTTTTACCAGGCGCTGAAAAGCGCGCGCGCACACACACACATATATATATATGGTCTTTTCTGTCCAACCCCAACCCCATCTTGATTGATATGCCTCAGACAGTCAGGCTGCTTCCCTCTAGAGGAGCATATATATATAAAGTCATGTGAATAACTTGCTAGAGAAGTGTAGCATTCCATAAGTACACAATATCCAAAGGTAGACTATGATTCACCATCCTAAGTTATATAGACCAAGTCAACCATACCCTTACCCTCTTCTAGTGCTTCTTAAGATGCCAGAAAAGGCAGAAATGAAGAAGAATCAGTACATGTAAAGCTTGAAACTAGCTAGAATTAATGAACATACAAAGAGAAATTTACTTAAATAGCACTAAAACATAATGACTTTACCTAAATAGCACCACATATGTTTTTCTTCCCAATATAGCACTTTTAGTCATTATGCATTAGTCATTATTCAAGTAAATATTCGTCATCACTGGACATTATGGACATTATCAAGTGCTATTTAGGGAATAAAACAATTTAAGTGCTATTTAGGGAAATGACCTAAGTTTTAGTGCTATTTAGTGCAAATATTTCACATACAAATCTAGCTCACTTGAGAACAGCTAGCATATGTTTATCACAATTCAAACCCACGCACAATAATAGGTAATTAAAGAGTTATTAGTTGCCCAAAGCATTTAATACCTGTATATATGTCCAACATTACCACCAATAGCTAGCTAACCACTAACCAGCCAACAAAACATAGCCAAGAGATGAAAACATAGCCACACTCACAACCAATTAGCTGGCCTGGCCTCTGAATGAGTAGCTAGTGCTGTCACAGAGCAACCACAAAGCAATGGGTAAGGTGGTACTCTCTTGGAACAGCAAGAACCTCATGGCACCAACGAACATCACCGTATAACTCACCATTGCCGCGATCGATCACCTCAATTTCAGCACACCAGACGTAGTTCTCATCATCACTGGTGCTCTGGCTCCTGCCCCTTTCAGACTCGGTGTCGCTGTCCCTCTCATACTGATCAAACCCCTCCTCGCCAAGGCGGCGCTGCTGCATAAAGGCAACCAGTCTCCCATCCACATTGGCCAGTAAAGTTCCCTTGCGGCGGAAGCTCAGATAGCCATTGCCCTCTAACCCCTCTAGGTAATTCCACCCCCCATTGTTCTCCAGCAGGCAATTACATTGCCCATTCTTGGAATCGAACCACTCAACTGAACGACCCGACCGCATTTTCTTATCACACCGAAACAGAACTCCATTCACCACAGCATAACTGAACTCTATATCCCCGTCCACAACAAGCGCATCGGGCACATCCACCTTGTCCCACGCGGATGTCCATAAATCCAGCCGGGGATCAAATGTGATGCGGCTTGGGACGTGCCCGTCATCCACGAGTAGGTAGAAATTGTCATCCAGGACGATGGAGGAGATCACGTGTCCGAGCATATATGTGGGCACACTCTCCCAGCCGCCGGAGGCAGGGTCAAACGCCGCCGCCCAGTCTGGATGAACACAGTTCATCCCCACGCCACCAATGACATAGATCTTCCCATCGATCACGCCAACGCCTGGATAATTGCGAGCAATGCTCATTTCGGGGCCGGGGACACAGCGGTTGAAGCGGCAGTCGAAGATCGATAGTCCGCGGGAAGGGGAGAAATCTATGGCGTAGATGGAATGGTTGAGGAGGACGTAACTGCGGCAGCGATTCGCGTCAAGGAAACGGACGGGGCCGATTGGGCTCGGGTCAGGGACGGGGGAGTGGCGGATTGCGTACATAACTGAATCATTGCCGCCGTAGGGTGCGACGAAACGGAGATAAATGAAATTCTCCGTGGAGGGGATGAGAGAGCGAGTCTTGAAGAAGTGCGGCGACAACACGAGAGCCCTAATTGACCTCGAGATCCGGCGGAGTGTGTGATGATCTGAGCGAGGAACCCTAGCTAGACACAGCGCAGCCATCTCGTCCGGAAGCCCGGGAATGAGCGATTCAACGGCCGTCGAAGCGGCGGCGGCGGTGGTGGACGACGAAGACGACTCCATTTTCACCTTCGCCGCAGTGGTGGTGGTGGTGGACGAGAAAGCCATTTTCACCGCCGCGTTCTTCACTTTTTCTTGGGAGGCTCTGCCAATTTTGTTTCTGTGGACTGCGACGCAGAGAAAAAGAATCCCGCAAAGAACACGGAATGCATGCATGGCGCGAAATCCGCGTGGGTCAATCCACCTTCCCGTCCAAATCGTAACAACATTTTATTCCGTTACTTTTTTTTGTACAACTCACCATTTCTATCAAATTTTTTTCATTTTGTTACTACCTACGGAGTATTTTATAATACCTGAAATTTTTTACATTTTCGTCGTCTTTAAATGTTATCCAGGTTTGAGTTTTTTTTAGTTAAAATTAATAAATTTTAATAACTAATTAAATTAAATTGATGTGAAATAGTGAATTTATACAAAAATAGTATTATTAGATTTGTTTTGTATGACATTTTCAAAATATTTTTACCTAACTACTCCCTCCGTCCCACAGTTTTTGTCCACTTTCATTTTTACATACCATCCAATGCATTTCTTTAATCCATTTTATCTTGTAATTTGTATATTAAAAAATTATAGAAATTATATATTAATAATCTATATGTTAAGACAAATCAAACAAGATCACACATGACTATATTTAGGCTTACACATTGAGAGAATTTGATAAGTCAAAGTGCTTAGATGAACAGTTCCAAAAGTCAAAAGTGGACAAAAACTGAGGGACGGAGGGAGTAATATATTTTATACATTTTACTGTATTACTAGTATAAGTTAAAGGTTGGAAGTGGTTAGATTAATACAGAGTACTAGTTAAAACTAAAAAAATATTTTTTCCAAATAATTTTTAACTCTCGTGAGTCGTGACCACCATCAAGTTCATATTATCACGCCCGTGGTAGGCATTGTGTCGTGACGGGCGTGACGGCTCGTTCAGAGTAGTGTTTCAAACCCAACTACACATGATCTTAGCGGTGTCGATTTTTTTGGTGTCAATCCTTCTAAGCTTGACTTTGTTAAAAATGAAGACTAATCCATTGGGTTCCACTACAAAGATGGAAATTTCCGCTCCAAGCACACCCACAGCAAGTCGTAAATCTATTTAATTTTTTTAAAAATAAATCATCTTTATATTTTATTATAAGTTTATTTTATCTGCATAATATTTATCATACAAAACCAAAATGAGTTATTTTAAAATAAGTAATTTAAATTTATGGAGTATTTTTTAGTTTTAAAAATATATATGTGTCACAAAAAATTGAGATTTGATAAAAAAGATTCCCAATGTAATATCATTAGTCATTGTTTATTGGTCATTATTCAAGTAAATATCCATCGTCACTGGATAATGTTCAAACTAAATAGCCACCTGAGCATTGTTTATGCCACTAGACATTATTAAAGTACTATTTAGATAATAAAAAAATTAAATACTATATTAAGTAATGATATGTTTTAGTATTATTTATTGTGAATTTTACTATTTTAATCTTTTCTCTATAGCCTTCTTAAAATCTTGACTTTGTAGAATGAAGAGTAATCCATTGGGTCCCACTACAAGATGGAAATGTCCGCTCCAAGCACACCCGCAGCAGATCTGATTCTGCAATCGCCACCACCGACGCCCCCATCTTAACCGCCACGACCACCGCACTAAGATGGCTTTCTCCTCCCGCCGCGGAGGGAGATGGTGGTACCACTACCTCCTCCCCACTTCCAAGCCTTCGCCGAAGCAGCCCCGCAAGTCCCGCAAACGGACCGCCATTAAAGATTTCCTGCTCGCCAACTTCTTCGCCATCGGCCTCTCCCTCTGCCTCCTCCTCTTCCTTCTGGTAGTCGTCTACAGCTATGGCGTTCCCAAACCACTGCTCTCCTCTCACTTCCGTTCCGCCCGAACCCGTTTTTCCCGGACCCGGAAGCCCGCTTACAGGAAATCCCCAGCTGGCGATGCCGTTTCCGGAGCTGTAGTGGATATAACGACCAAGGGTTTATACGACAAGATTCAATTCCGTGATGAAGATGGCGGTGCTTGGAAGCAAGGTTGGAATGTGATTTACCAAGGAAATGAGTGGGATTCGGAGAAGCTGAAGATTTTTGTGGTTCCACATTCGCATAATGATCCAGGTTGGATTCGCACGGTTGAGGAATATTATGATCAACAGTCCAGGCATATCCTTGACACCATTGTTGAAACACTTTCAAAGGTGAATTTTTTTTAGCTGCCTACAACTGTTTAATCAATGAGTCAAATGCAAATATGGTGTGTGTAGGAAACTGGTTGAATATTAAGTTCACTTGGAATTCATGATTAGTGCTTCATGTTGAGACAAAAGGTGTTAGGGCTTCCCGAATGGTAAAAAAATGTCGGCAAGAAACTCTGATTCTCGGGATGGTTACTATCATAAGTTAATATTGGGGACATAGTTTGTCGTGTTCCATTTCATGGTGTTTAATGTGATTTCTACCCCTGCCCAATTCTGGGTTTTGGTCTATAGGATGTTCGCCGCAAGTTTATATGGGAAGAGATGTCTTTTTTGGAGAGATGGTGGAGAGATGCCTCAGCTGCAAATAAAGAATCCTTCATCAATTTAGTACAGAATGGACAACTAGAAATCGTTGGAGGTGGTTGGGTGATGAATGATGAGGTAAGCATGCACCGTAAATGTAACGAACCTTTTGAAATGGAGAAAGTACTTATTATTCTCTGTTTACGTACTGCCTCTTAATCCCAAATTCCCAATTGGGATTTAAAAGAGTTCAATGGAAATCATGAGTTTTTTTTTCTTTTTTCCGAATTATCAATCTAACCAGACAAACCCACTATATGCCACTCAATAGTCAATAGTATGGTGTGGCAAGCAAGATGTACATAGACCATACCTATACTTTCTGGAGTAGAGTGCTTTTTTTTCCTTTTCAATTTATCAATGGCGATTTAAAATCGTTTGTTCTTGTGCAATTCCCCTCAATGGTGAACCTGTATCATATTTATCAGTTAATGATGTCTAGCCTCTTGAACAAATGGGTTTATTTGAGTGGTGACTGGGGCTCAACTGATTTTATGTATAATCATTTTTGCCAATTGCACTGGGTGTATGACTGGCCTTAGGAAGGCTACCCTAGAATAAAGAGATTTTCGATAAGCTATTTTGAATGTTAAAGCTAGTGGTACCCTTCAATATTTCTAACATTATGTGCATTCTTTCATTTCCTATATGGGTGTCTCGTAAAGGAATCAATTTTTCTTTACTTCCCTTGCCATTTACTTTTTTATGAAGTTTTGGGTAGTAAATGCATCAATGCATCAAGTGTCTAAAAAAAAAGAGCCTTTATGGTTTTCGCAGTGGTAAGGATGCATACACCTTCACCCTAAATCTCGACGGAGTAGGGATCAAAATGGATTTGTTGTCGTTGTTTTTTTATTGTAATTGTTGTTGTTGTTGTTGTTGGTCTTTAATCATCTTCAACTTTCTTTAGGTTGTCTATTGATGACTTGCCTTTTTTCGTTGGTTTTGTTTACAGGCTAATTCACATTATTTTGCAATCATAGAACAGGTAAATTGGAGATTCCTTATTGTTTAACTTGCACTATTCTGATTCTTAATTTTCTAGAAGTTGCTGCTCAATATACGCCTATTGCTTATTTCTTTTTGGGGCTTTTTTTATCTCCTTATTTTATTACATATAAAGTGATTCTTTTATCCATTTCACTCAATGTGCCTTGCCTTGAACTTCTAGTTGCAAACTAAAGTTTTAAGCTGAGTTGATGGGGCCAACTAGAGATTTGAGTGTAGATTTACATGGACGTTCATAAATTTGAAAAGTTCTCATTTACAAAGCTGTCCATTTTGACATTGTTTCATAATGCATGCCACCTTATTCTAGTTTTCATGATGTGCTTCTTGCATATTCTGTGATTTTAATCTCTTAACTTTTTATTGATCTTTACTAATTTTTAAATACCATAAAAAGGGATGGTAATTTCTTGATAACTAGATATGGTTTGACTGAAACAGTTTTAGTTCTGAATTATGGATGCTAATTGTATTACATTCATAAATCCTAGATATATTCACACATATTTAGATAGCTTAAAACATCATAGTCTCATTATAATAATGATTCTTTCTTTTAATGCCCCTATCTGGTTGTTTGTGTTCATGCACATATATGGATGTACTTAAGCTGCACATCCCATATTAATCTTGTCATCCCTGTAAGTTGTGTTAACAATTAACATCCTTGTTTTCTGAATCTATGACCAGATAACAGAGGGTAATATGTGGCTCAATGAAACTTGTGGCGTTGTTCCCAAGAATGCATGGGCGATAGATCCTTTTGGATATTCTTCAACAATGGCGTATCTCTTACGCCGTATGGGTTTCGAGAATATGCTTATACAGAGGACACATTATGAATTGAAGAAGGAATTAGCTTTGCACAAAAATTTAGAATTCATATGGAGGCAGAGCTGGGATGCAGAAGAAACAACTGACATGTTTGTCCATATGATGCCCTTTTATTCCTATGACATTCCACATACTTGTGGGCCCGAGCCTGCAATCTGTTGTCAGTTTGACTTTGCTCGAACCTATGGCTTCTCATACGAGCGCTGCCCTTGGGGAGAATTTCCACAGCAGACTACACCAGAAAATGTGAAAGAAAGAGCACTTAAGCTGTTGGATCAATATAGAAAGAAGTCAACACTGTATCGTACAAATACGCTTCTTATTCCCCTAGGAGATGATTTTCGCTATGTTAGCGTTGATGAGGCTGAAGCTCAGTTCAAGAACTATCAACTTTTGTTTGATTATATCAATTCTGATCCTGGCTTGAATGCAGAAGCCAAGTTTGGTACATTAGAAGATTTTTACCGAACTCTGCGTGAAGAGGCTGATAGGGTGAATTATTCTCGTCCAAATGAAGTTGGGTCTGGTGAGATTGGTGGGTTCCCTTCTCTCTCAGGCGATTTTTTTACTTATGCTGACAGAGAGCAAGATTACTGGAGTGGTTATTATGTATCCCGTCCGTTCTTCAAGGCTGTTGACCGTGTGTTGGAGCAAACCCTTCGCGGTGCTGAAATGATGATGGCTTTCCTACTTGGATACTGTCAGAGAGCACAATGCGAGAAATTGCCCACCGGATTTTCCTATAAGTTGACAGCCGCTAGGAGGAATCTAGCACTGTTCCAACATCATGATGGGGTAACTGGTACAGCCAAGGATCACGTGGTTAATGATTATGGGATGAGAATGCACATGGCTTTGCATGATCTTCAGATTTTCATGTCAAAGGCCATTGAGGTGTTGCTCGGGATTCACCATGAGAAAAACGACCACAACCCATCTCAGTTTGAGCCTGCACAAGTGAGATCGCAA